AGCATAGACCATTTTCCTCTTATAAAAGATATCTAAAGTTTATATGTTCTTATCAAAATTATTGAACAATACTGATTTGCAAAGCACTAATTTTATTTTCTCATATTCATCTGTACTTTTTTTATTCGAAAGATGTTTCATTTCACGAAAAGCACTATCGAAATCGTGTTACCTTAGCTAAGTTACTTCTGCCCTTTGATTCATATCACCGTAATGATCTGACTTGCATTTTGTACTGCTACTGCAAGTGCAATATCAAATTTTTTCTTTGAAACGGAATCGCTACAATTGAAGTTTATGATGAGTGTGTGAATGATTGTTAAAAACTGGTTCACACTTGTTTCTTTCAGCGAACGTTTTCAGGTGCACAATCACGTTTTCTTCCACCAGCTACATACTCACACTCCTTTCCAAATACATAGAAAGAGTTATGACACCATGCATCCTTCTCATGTTCATAGCGCCAATATTTACAGCGAAACCCAACTTCCGAGTTCCAAAAGTTAGATTCTTATCCTCAACCAGCTTAATGCGACAAGAATTAGATGGTGAAACTATGTGGCTGACTAAATTTCTGGGATAGAGGGGGCTTAATTTAAACAGCTTCTTGGAAATCTCCCAAATATATACGTACTTGTCAGTTCACGCAAGCAAGCAGACATGCCACGAAACATACAAAACTTATGCTATTGTTTATAATTCTTTCTGAGGTTAAGGGTATATAGTGTATATTCGGTAAGGTCGTGGATAATTAGAAGTGAAAATCAAAATTATGAAGGAATTCTATTTAGAAATATGAAGATTGAGTGATAATCGATCCGATGGAGACATTCTATGATTCTGAAATAAAGCTTCACAAAGATGTCTGAATACATAGAAAGCTTTAGATCACATTAGAATGTTACAAGAACCTTTTCCTCTTTCTTAGTATCCCTAAAAGATCAGAAATAATGCTTTCATTTCTGTTATTTTTGAATTTTATCTTGGGAAACGTATTTTAAATCAAATTTAAATTTTTAAATCGTAATAATCTCTCTGCAGATTTATTTCATGATTCTAGTGCTCTTCCAATTACATTATCTGTCGTCGTAAAAAGTATCATTTATTCCTTTATTTTCCTTTTATTTTTTAAAAATAAATGATTCATTTACATTTATTTTTTAAAAATAAAGTATTCCTTTATTTATTTAACTTTATTTTTTAAAAATAAATGATCATTTATCTTTATTTTTAAAAAATAAAGGGTCCATTTATCTTTATTTTGTAAGAGTAAAGGATTCATTTATCTTTATCCTTTATTATAAAGGAAAGTAAAGATAAAGGGTCACCCCTAGCTATGATTAGACTCTGATGATTTTCTCTACTTTATATTATTCAAGGTCGAATAAAAGTTATTCGTGTACTTTTTCGTATCAATATTCAACGACAAACTCTTGGAATATTCTGATGAAACTTATTAAACTGACAATTTGCGATCTGCACGCGAGAACCAACAGTATTTATTATCCTATAGATGTATCGACTATTTCAAATATCGATCCGTTGACTTCAATTCCGATAACAATATAAGATACCGATCTTGAACTGATAGATCAATCTACGCGGCAAAAATTGCTTGATTAAACCTTTTCTTTTTACTTTTAACATTTCAATTTTTTATTTATTTCACATTCATTAAAATTATAATCGTCAATACTTTTTAATTTTCTTGACAGGACAATTGTCTGTGATTGTCGACAGATGATTGTTCCGCTATGTAACTGTAATATCCCTTATTGTCAGTATGAACTATTACAAACAATGATTATAATATATTTGATAAGCAATTCACATACTTAGAGTCCATTCAATTGTGAGTTCGATGAGTGATAAAATAAAAAATGAATAGAGATCGAATAGGAATTCTGTACTTTGTAATCTGCCTCGATCAAATGATTTCTTCATTAAATATTACATGTAATTCACAACGTAACTAATTAAATCAAAACAACTATTAAAAGTCAAATCCTTATTTCATTGCATGATTAGTTAGTACTTTCGTCAATAATAATCAAGTTAACGCTTAAAAGTCGAATGTCCCTTGTAAGGGACATTGCGACAACTGATATAAAAAACATAATGAAACTGTTTACGCAAAAACTAATATTTTCCAAAACTCTAGTCGTTTGATAAATCATAGAGGAAAAAAGAAATTACTCAAAACTGATTGTTAGAAGGTACAACAAATTTTTAAAAATTTGTAAATTTTCGCCTTTTTGAACGATATTGCTAAGCATAATGTCCGACTATCTGGTGAAAACCATTCCAAAAATTTTTAATCGACCACTGATAAATTATGACATTGTAAAGAAAATGTCCCTTGAAAGGCATATTTAGTCTTAACAGTCCCAAACATACTAACGACATCTGCATACCTAAGACTTGTTGAAGATGTGGTAGTGAACTGCATCGGGTTTCGAAATCGGATCTAAAGTAATTAATGGATCAATCATATTGTACATACTAATGTCGCCAAAATTGAACCGAAAATTTTACTTAGAAGCGCTTTTTTGCCGAGTTTTCTCCGAGTGTTGGCGGTTTTGAAAATTTTCATTGGAGAATAGATTTAGAAATTTTGAAATCTAGTTTGTCATACTCACATCGGCTATATCATTATCGAAATGAACAGGGATAAGTAAATTGAATACTTTTTAAAGTTTCTTCGATATTTGAGATTCTCTCACCGCGTTGAGGAAGACGTATCTTTATCTTATGTGTGCAGTATTATCGTCGATAAAAAAAGTGAGTAAAAAATAGAATCGAATGAAAACTATGAGAACAAATGACATGAATTTTCAGGTTTACATATATTTAGAATATAAATCATCGAAGAATGTCATATAAAAAATTTATGAGTAAAATTTTGAACTATTGATAGTTTTAAGTGAGTCTCTCTATGGAAGTCAATTGTAAGAGATGCATTGTCAAGCTGCCATGATTATATGTCGTTATTGCTTTAACGCACCCTTTTTTGATGCTCCATGTTTACAGACTTTCTTGCCAAATACAATCACCTCATGCAATGCGTACAGTTCCACCAGTGAATAACCTAACAGTACAAACGGTGTTAATATAAAATGAAATGCATTGCGAAGAATAAAAATACATTGAGGAACATCCATTAATCGAACAATAAGTGCATCAATAATAAATGCAACCAAAAATGTTAGCATTTGTAGACCTAAAAAGCCATACATGAGATAAACAATCATCGGTGGAACATGCTTGACGATTAGAATCATGGATAGCAAAGATGTTAAACCATACAAGCCAGCTGTGCACAGCAAAACCCCATAATAGATGATGAAAACGAGACCCCAAGAGAAGGCCGCCATTTTCGGTATACGCTTCGCTTTGATAATAAAATAATGAAAGACTTCTGCAGCTCCAATTGTCCAACGACGTGCTTGTCTTGCCCATTCCATGATTTCAATTTCAATTGTTTCACCTGATGTCGGTCCGCTGACAACTGGTACAGGAATCATCGAAATTCGAAGACGTTGCTGCGTTACACCCATCCATCGAATGAGACAAATTATGTCGTCCATTTGATATCTCGGATGAATAAAATTGCCTTTTTTTGCTAGACTGAGTGAATACGAAAAAATACTCATCGTATTGATATTAAATGGAATGAGAGCGCCAAGCATCAATAAACTTCGTAGAAGTCCCGTGACACGAGTGACAAATGACAAGCTATCCAATTTCCAATTGTAAAATAAAGGTGATTGATAGATTGTAGTTAATGCTGGTTGATTCTCTGTTAGATATTTCCAAGTCAATGCTGCAATATAATCTGTTGAAAATTTTGAATCAGCATCACATGTTGTCACAAGAATGTTTCCCATATCATCGTCAGCAACATTCATTTGACTAACAGCCATTCGAAGACCGTAATTTGAATTGGAACATTTACCCGGAATTTCATTTGGCAAACCATATGGATGAATAGTAAATATGATTCGCTCAAAGCCAGCGTCTTTGAATCTATTGTTTAAGTATTTACATTTCTCTTCTTTATCGGGTGTTTTCTCTTCGAAGGAGATTACCATAGTTATTCGTTGCACTTCAGTCTGATCGGCCACGGATTGAACACTTGTTGCAATCAACTCAACTGGTTCTTTATAACAACTGATCGCAACTATATGACGAATGCGTGTTTTCTCTAGACTAGCAATTTTTTCCGCATAATTACATCTGTGATTCGCATACAGAATGAAGACATTTTTCATGGCTAATATTGCAATGACTAAAAAAATCAAAATTATATAGGTCATTTCGAAGAATGAAAACATTTTCGAGTTGCCTTACTAGTCCACATGAAAACAATAACACCTTGAATCGATGGTATTATGTACAAGGCAACTTGATTCGAAACGAAGGGAATCCAAAATGGAAGTGGAACGACAAGCCATAAAAGAAGATTAAATAAAAGATTCCAACGTATCCTTTGACTACCGCTTTTCATTTCAACATGTCTCATACCAGTTTCAATGATCGTATGCTGAGATACTGGTTCAATGATAATATTTGTATGTTGGTTGATATCCTTATTCTTATCAACAGAACTTAGTCTAGTTAACGTTCGTGTTTGTAAAATTTCATTAATGACTTGCCTTTCTTGTTCTAATCGATCAATTTGTTTTTCGGCTTCCACTGAGATATGACCAATGAAGTTCTTATGCCATGTTAACAAGTTTGATACAACGGCTTGTTTTACCTGATTATCTAAATTGTTCATTTTACCATAGTTCTGATATTGTTCACTCAGAAAACGAACGAGTTTCCGTGGGTTGTCTTCCATTGTTGAGCTTATTATTATGCACACATATGTATCCGTTGAAAAAAAAACATCTTTCTTATATATAGATTCAGGTCACTTTATTTGGTTTGTTCCGTCAATATGAGTAAGTGTGAAAAAGTGGCTCACTTCCTTCGTTCGTTATGTGTAATAAAAATACATACAATACTATTGAATGAGTTATTGAATCAAAAGTAAGTTTACCTTCTTGGAAAAATCTTTTGACGCATAGCTTTGATGGTTTCTTCCTACTACTACTTATTGACACGTGAGACACACCATCTCCATATGTTATGCATGCGTATATACAGTAAAGTGCAAGAATCTTTTCTCTCCGCATAATGACAATTGTTAAAAGCATATCTCTGAAAGTTTCTAAAGAGATTTTTTCGAGAGCTTTCCAGAAGCTGATGAAAGGTTTATATAAAGCTTTGTAAACAGATTGGGAGAAAATGTCTCGACAACAAAATTCTACTTCATTGGAAACAAAGCGATCAACTATTAAACACTACTGAAACAATGGTCATCGATCTCCTGAAACGATGAGGGTGTGGGTGTGGGGTGTGAGTGTGGGTGTGTGAGTGTGAGTGTGGGTGTGGGGTGTGGGTGTGTGAGTGTGGGTGTGGGTGTAAGTGTGGAATTTGTGAGTGTAGGTGTGGATGTGTGTGGGTGTGGGTGTAAGTGTGGATGTGTGAGTGTAGATGTGGATGTGTGAGTGTAGATGCGGATGTGTGAGTGTAGATGTGGATGTGTGTGGGTGAAAAGAAGAATTCCACAGACTCCACTACATTTACAGACCATATGCATACACCCACACCTCGACTGAAGAAATTGTGAAACTTTGAAAGACTTCATAAAAACTGTCTGGAAGATTCTGCTGAACAATCTGTTTGGAACGGCGAGAACAAAACAACGAAAATGTAGAAGAAAGCAATACATTTCTCACATCGCTTATCATTTGTACTTTATCAGTATGGATCTAAATATTAAAAAAATCAGTTTTCTTTTCAGAGTGTATAACCTCATCAATATGAACATAAATATAAAAAAAAGGAAAACATTAGTTTTTTTACGCGGTGTATAACTGATCATTTATGTTTTATCAATATGAATCTAAATTTAAAAAGGAAATATTAGCTTTCTCTTTAGAGTGTGTAACTTACCATTTGTATCTAATCGATATGGACATAAATATAAAAAGAGTGAAATATTAGTTTTTTTACGAGATGTATAATGTACCACTTGTATTTTATCAGTATGAATCTAAACATAAAAAAGAAAATATTTCTTTTCTCGTTAAGGTGTGTAACTTACCATTTGTATCTGATCGATCTGAACATAAATACAAAACGAAGAAAATACTAGTTTTTTTACGGGTGTGGGTATGGATCTTCTCTTCAGCATAACCTACATCCACACCCTCCACAAGATACCTACACCTTCGCTTTCACTCACATCCGTACCTACACTCTCATCATACCGCACACATACCTATGAAGGTTACCCGTGAAACGAAATATCACGCCTCTCTATGTACAAATATGTGTTTCACATCTAGTATGCGTTATCTATGACACTTACTTCCATCATTTGCTATCCTTAGGCACTTCCTAAATAAAATGTTGATAAAGGCTTGATAGCGTCCTTAAAAACGACATATCGCACCATTTCTCAGAGGAATCGCTACTCCATACATTTTTCAACGGATATGACAGTCAGCACCAAGACAATATATTCGAAGAATCTTCTTCTCAGAATACTTCAATCCAGTGGAGATTGCTTATACATGTCGAAAATTGTTCTGATATCCAAGAGGCATCGGTACAACATCGTTTAATTCAGAAACGCGATTTTCGTCAGATGCGACGATGTAATATTGACATTCATGAAATATCCCAGATCATTTCATGGATATCAGAATGGTCGCAGCTAGCAATCAACGATTTCCACTAGCTTATGATGTCTTGAGCACAGAAATCTCGGCAAATATCTCATGGATGCTGAATACTATATCCGTTGAAAATTATGTGAAATAATGATTTCTGCTGGTAAATGACTGGATAGTCCATTTTGGAGGATATTACCAACTATTGGTATGGATTATTTTGTTTTTTCCTGCGTCAGTCTCCTTACGTTCATCTCGTTCAGCTATATTGGTATATCTCTACTTTACTTTATCACAAACAAGTTTGAGAGTACAAATTCTAAAAGAGCAAAATCTCGAGTTACGACATATCAAACCAACGAAATTTGAATAATATTGACTATATGCGCAACTGAGATATTGATTAGAATAGATTGATGAAGAGCTTGATGATGTGAGCATGGGTGTTGCTGATGGATAGTTAATAACTCTCACCACTATGGAGATAGAAACTGCATTCTCTATCTAGACCAGCGTTCTGATAGAATCATCTATTTTTTTCTATAGGCTGTCTCTTTCAACTTTGACTGAAACAAATTGAGAGATTTGTCTCATTTTGCATTCCATCCATGATATTAGATCTCTGTGTGTTCTTTTAGTGTCGCTTGATATCTCATGTAATATTTTATGCGAAGGAGTCACTTAAATTTAGTGTTTTTCATTTTAGATCATTGTTACATCAAGTTCAATCCAATGAATATTCTCCTGATATGGACATTGCTACTGCTGCAGTTGACGGTAACTCTACAGATTTGATTTATTGATTAGGATTCCAGGATTTATTTTACATAGAACGGTCAGAATGATAAGATACTGTAGAATCTAATGTTTTCTGATACCCTATTTTGTAGCGCCATGGATTATTTCATCGCTGCATTTTCTGGAAGCCTATTATGAATTTCTGACTTCATCTATTTCGAGATATGGAAAGATATGTATCACATCAAGTTCTGTCCAGAATCTTAGTCAAAAAGTGAATATCTGCCTTATCAATTCAGGTAGATTAGCTAAATTATTTTGAAGTATAAAAATAATGATTTAGTTTATCTGATTCAACACTTTGATGCTGAGAATATTTTTGAACCCGTAGAATATACGGTTTTTGACGAATACTGTCTATCTAGATTGAGAATTCCACACTTAGTTCGAAGTTGTGCTGTATCATTTCAAATTCAAAATTTCTTTACGAAAGACTTGATGTGTTGAAATAGTTTAGCTTCCTTGAAATAACGAACTTTTCAACGGTTTCAATGATTAGAAAGCATGTTGAAATGTTCTTCGTCTTTTTCAAAGTGATCGATGAGATCTGTTTGAAATGATTGATTTTTTGGCGTTTCTTACTCTATTTTGGCAGCTTCTTAGCTGTTCCGAACAAGAAACTCTCAAAACCAACGACAGAGAATGAATCAAGTAGGCGTATACATCATGAAGTGATGCTTCTCATATGATTATTGATTTCGTTTACAATTTTAAGGCTAGTGCATACTGAAACATGATACAATAAAAGTCAATCTGATTTCATGTTATAATGCTCACTACCTTCCTGTTATTTTAATAAACGTCAAAACTTTCAAACGCATTGCAACGAAGATATCGATAGTTGTGTTAAGTTTTTCTCTTTTGAATGAGACTTGTGCAAAACTATTCAGTAAAAGACATTCTCTTGTCTGGAAATCTAGATTCATACAGAACAAAATATTTTTTTGTTTGCAAAATAGGGGAAAACATAAAATAAAAATGGCTAAGATTGATTTCTTATAGGTACCAGAGATAATGGGAGCTTCTTTTAGTCAATTAAATAGTGATTATGGAAGTTACAGTCCGACTTTTGAAAAGAAACTGATCGAAGAAAACCGTCCAGATGGATACTGGATTGAAGCTTTTCAAGTAGACAATCAAACTCTTATTGGACTGGTAGGATATGGAGTTAAAAGTGGAGAGATAAAGTTTTATCCAAATCCATCCACAACTACAAAACCAGGAAACGCTACTCTTATTCAAAAGCTACATAGTCCTGTAGGCATGGATCAAGCTGACATAACAGGGGATGGCATGAATGACATAATTATCTGTTTTCAATATGGTAATACTACGTTAGAGAGCGATCCTAACGGAGGAAAGATCGTATGGTTGGAAAATCCTGGACAGAATATCGATAAAAAACTATGGAAAATGCATTATGTTGGAAAATCTCCAACTATGCATAGACTTAAAGTTGGTCATTTTACACAAAAAAAACGTTGGGAAATTATAGGTTTGCCTATTCTCGGCAAGCCTCATGATCTATTCTCAGCAGTGCCTATACTGTTATTTCGACAACCTGATAACTTATTCAATGCTACAGAATGGCCATATGAAATAATTAATCAGCAATTTTTCCATATAATTCATGATACAAAACGAATTAATGTTGATGGATTGGATAGTCTACTTATTGCATCAAGCGAAGGTATTAATTGGCTTTATTTTAATCAAAACTTAACCAAATGGATGATAGAGAACATTGGAGATGGTGAACAGAAACAACAACAGATACCTTTCTACGGCAGTGGCGGTATCGATTTAGGACGAGTTGGAAACGATTCTTTTGCTTATATGCCGGCCATCGAACCTTTTCATGGAAATGTGATTTCGGTCTACATCAAAACCATGAAGAATTCTTTGAAACAAAATCAATGGAAAAGATATGTGCTGGATGTTTTTGGATATCCTAATGAAAATGGTGAAAGTCCAAGTCATCATCTGATTTGTGCTGATTTTGACAAAGATGGAGACGATGAATTTTTAGTTGGACTTCGTGGACCATCTCTGACTAAAGGTGTCTACTTTTATAAGCCAATTGATCTTTCTCGTGGTTTATTTGCTAAATGGAAAGTTAGCGATGAGTCAGCTGCCAGAATTGCTGTTGCCGATTTTGACAATGATGGTCTTCTTGACTTTGCAACCATTAGCTATAGTGTCCCAGATTATTATACAGAAGAAAATCCTTCTATTCACATCTTTTACAATCGATTCGCTCAGAAGAAGCCACAAGCTAAAAAAGAAATACAAGCTATGAAACAAAATATGGATCTTTTGTTCAAGGTTTCAAGACCAAAGAAAGCATTACAATATGAAGCACTACCTTTTATTACAATAGATGGAATAGCTTTATCATTAGAAATTGTACCACCTCATAGTTCACGTTTAGTGGACAAAAATACTTATATCAAAGTTCTTTCTGGATTTATAATGTGGACGGACTCTTCGAGAAAATCCTATCAGACCATCAACCATTCGCGTACATTTTTCTGTGAACGAAGAACTGTTACACCTCTTGAGATACACAGTGGTAATGACCGAATAACAACAGGAAGTGAAGGCGCTCTTTTGATTGTATTCAAAACACTTGATGACATCAATGGAATTCATCGAATCGAGGATATTAAAAAAGTTATGATTAAGAACTCATTACCGGAATACTATCCTGAAGAAACTCGTCAACTTGCTTTTCAATTTGTCCGATATGATCAATATGACACGAGGCCCCAGTTCAAAGATCTTGAATTTTATAATCTGAAAGGTTTCAGGATAAATTTTGCTGATAACAACGAACATCTTTGCTACATACAACTGTGGGCTGCTGGACAAGGTGTTAATGCTGGTGTACACAATCATGCGACGGATTCCTTCTGCGAAATTCATGTTTGTATTTTCAACGGAAGTGGGCAAGGTGGTATGCACTATCTCAATAGCTCCAAAGAAGTTTATGATCCACTCACTACACCAGATTCAGCATTCGAAAAACTAGCATTACCAGCATTTTATGAACATGGTCCTCTATGGGATATTGATGCCCAAAACAAACCAGTTTTACGAAATGATGGTACTGTAGTTTATCCGTGGCACAAATGGCAATCTGGCATAGATAGATCGGTTAACCAATCATTTGATGTTTGGATGGTTTTTGAATTTAATAGTGAACTATCAACACTTCCTACCCAAATGAAGTAAAACAAACATTCACTCTAAATATATTAAACGCATTTATGATGATGCTTGTCGTTCACATTCATTACCAAACTTCTATTTGAATTGTTGTGTTCAGTTTCTGCCATCATAAGATTTTTCATTAAACATCTTTATTTTTTTTTTTTTGAACTATTCGAGAAAATCATTTTTTTAAGAATAAATAAGACTTTCCAACTGAAAGACGAAGAAAAAGAAAAAAAAATTGCAACGTCAACATTCTTTATCAACAAAATAATGTCATCATAAATTTAACAAATTCAAATTCTGTTATTTCAGACAAATTAAATACTGATTTTCTAATCATTGGCAATTCAAACAGTTATGACACAAGACTGATGCATTTGTTTCAATGCTTTAACGCTAATTTTGCGAATATTTTATC